GCATGCGCACATACATGCGCATATACACGGACATGATTATGTGTAGGTGTCGATGAGAAAGGCACATGTACATGTCATGGGGCAATCAACGAGAACTGTTGGAATGGAACGGCTCCGAGCTGACACGGAGAACGCCGCCGCCGCTTACGGCGGCGACGACGACGACGACAACGACGACGACGACGCCGTCGACGACGACGGCGGAAGTCAGGCATCGCGCCGATCTTTCGCTCAGGGATCGTCTTGAAGGCCTTTCGGAGCAATTCTGCAGGCAATTTCGGAGGTTTGGGTCATTCGGGGGGTATTTCAGCGCCCCCCCAGGGCGCGCTTGAAGTCGTTTTAGCGTCACTTTCGATGAGCAGTTCAGCTCGGCTGTTCTGGAGCCGCAACGACTAGTTGAAACAGAGAGTTCGAAATACAGCGCACATTATGTTCCCCGTGATGCAAAACAAAAATTGGAAACGCTGTTCCAGCCGTTTGCGCGCACGTCGAACCCCGAACAACGCGCCGTGGACCCAAACATGCTCCTGCAAGGGAGCTTCTCAGGAGAGTATACTTGGCTGTTTGGGGGCCTTGGCGGGTTGGCTGGGGGCCGCTGTTGGATCGCAACGTCCTTCTTGGAGGCGTCATGTGCGCGGTGTTCGGGTGACGTGGGAGCCTTTGCTGGCGGAAAGCTCGAAAGGTTAGTTTGTGCTGCACGTTTGGGGCCCCTCATGGGGCGGGTTCGAGGCCTCTTCGTGGATTCTCTCTGGCGGGTTTGGGCTCTCCTGGGGCCGCGGAGGAGGCAGGGGATGCGGGCAATGCGGAGGGGAGGGCCCGACAGTGTCCCCAACGCGCTTTCGTCGTCGCTGTGGTTCAATGCGGCTACAGGTGCGCCGAGCACGCCAATGGCCTTGGCGATGGGGCTCTTGGGGTTCTCTTGGAACTTTTTGCGCGAACGGCTCAGCGCATGTGAGCGTCAACCAGTGGCCGGAACAGTCGTTCGCCTTTAGGCGAAAATCTGTTCTGAGCCACTCGGGTCGAGGCCTGAGGGTCTGAGCTCAGTTTCTTTGGAGCCGAAGACAGACTTGAGGTCATGTTGGACGCTGCTTGGGTCCTTTTCGGGAATTTTCTGGCAAAAGAAATCCGTTATTTCTATGTGTTGAAAGCGGATTCCAACCTCCACATGTCGATTGGGGCCCATTCTTGACGCTTCCCTGGGTCTTGGGTGGAAGTCCCGAGAGGCGGACAGGATCAGGACTTGGCGTCCGTTGGCCCTCGTGTCTACCACAGCGCAGCTCCCCCCAGGCGCATCGCCCTATGGCATCGGTACGCCTCGCTCGCACAGGCGCCAGGTGCATCGGGAGGTACAGCCAGGTCTGTTCTCTTGAGGATTTGCCTGCCCCTGGGTTAGTTAGGCCTTCAAGGCAACACTACCACCACTGCAGCGCCCGTTACTCTTCCCACCTGGCGATGCTCACCACGCCAGCTGGTTACCCCCCCTCACTCAGAGGCCTGACGCCGTGCCGGCACGCACTGCGTGGCTCATACTCGCTCAGTTCCCCCTTGCGCTGTGGGGTGGTCGGACAGGTGTTGGCATCGTTACGGAGTGGTTCAGCCTTCCGCAGCAGGTACAGCATTCAAGGCTCACGATCAGCTTTCCCCAGTTGCGTTGCACCACGGCTCACGACAGCTCAGCCTTTCTGGCTAGATCAAGTCGTCACGGCGTCTGGAGCCTGGCGCCCCATTGGCGACACATGGCCTCCCACTTGCCCCCACTCAGCACGACGGACTTGGCCATCCTGGTTCACGTCTCTACTGCGTGGGTCGTGCCATGGCAGGCGCCGAATTCCGTGACACGTTGTCCTGTGCACGTGCTCGAACTCTCACGATGTCGCCCGCTGTCAGCTCTCCTTCAGCTTCGCGGCTGCTTTGTGAGTGGGCCGACTGGCCTGTGCCTGTTGTAGCTAATTAGCCTCGCTCGCGCCCCGGACTTTGCTTTCGCCGCCTGACCCTTGTTTCGTGGCCGCGACCCAAAAAGTATATCCGCAACCACATCCAAAAACACCCATGCGGGTTGCCGTGATCAGGCAGGAGGGGAAGCATACAGTCCGACAAAGGAGGAGGGCAGCTATTACTCTGGACAGGGGAAAAGGAAAAATGGACGACGATTATCAACGCGAGGAGATGAGGGCCACAGGATGCGGAGGAGGAAGAGGATAACGAAAAGGTGAGAGGAGGTTGAGGAGGAATCATAGTATGGTGGCGTTCGACGACGGAGGAAGGACGACGACGACGAGAGCGACGACGAAAACGAAGACGACGTCGACGACGGAGACGACGGCGGAGACGACCACGACGACTGAAACGACGACGACGTAGTCGTTGCCGCCGCATGAGACACGATGGTAATAGCACCCAGCCCCGCTCCCTCTTTCACCTCTCCACGAAACTACAAGTTCGTCTTGCGATTCCCCCGCATGGTGGGAAGGGGTGACTAGCTCGTCAGCCCAACCCGAGCCCTCGAATCGAGAATCCAGCAACTGGAAGGATAAGCTCCAATTGGACACAAGAACAGCTCCGACGCGCCCGCGAAGCCCCAACAATACTAAAAGTTACCTCAAAACAATCCATGAGACACCAAAAACGTCCCAAGAGGGCCTCAAGACCAAGCGCTTATGATACACACGTGTCTTACGTTTTTGGGCGATCCACACGCTCTCGCCTTTTAAGGCTCCCGAGCGCTACTGGCCCAAGTCGGGCCTAAAGGCCCCAAAGTGAGCACGGAACCTGCCCAAACAAAAAGCCCCACGACGCCGCAGAAGCTTCCCAAGACGACAGAAGAGGCAGAAGGCACGACCGCCAGCACGACCACCAGACCGCCCACCATCACCACCGCCACCACGACCACCAATAACATCACCACGTGATGCCGTGTCTGCGTCGCTCATGAAAACACCCACGCGAAACCCAACGACGCCCGAAAAAAAACCCAGGAAGACAGACAACGGGCCCCAAGCAAAGAGTCCAAGCAAATTGCGTGACATAAAAAACCGAGACGACCCACAGAGACGCCCGCGAAACAGGCCCGCCTTCCAAAGAAAATCCAGCCGTTGCAGAGGAGACCCCAAGACGGGCCCATGAGAGCTCCAGTGAAGCCCGAAATGTTCTCAAGCCAGTCCAATTGAAGTCCCGAAACAGTCCCCGACAAACCCGAGATCGCAAGAGGAAAGCCCGCACCGCCCCCCAACGGACCCAAAGGGCTCTCTTATTCCCTCTCGTCCTTGTCGTCATCCTCCTCCTCCCCGTCCTCCTCGCGCTGGTACTCGTCCTCTGCCTCCGCCCACCGGGTCCTCGTTGTCCAGGCACCCGGGCAAGGACTTTGAGACCCAAGAAAACTAAACTCCAAACACTTATTCGGGGTCGGCGACGAAGCCAGTAGCCTTTAGATAGTACTAATGCGTGTACATTCGTTTCTCACAAAACACTGGTTTCCAATAACCCCTGGACAAAAACGGAGCAACATCCACATGCGCGCGTCCTCGCGCGAGCATGGCGAAACCATTCAAATAAAGTACAGGTTTCGTAATGAATCCAACATGTAGTTTCCCGAACGCACATAAAACACGAGCGGCGTTGCAACATGATATTTCACAATCTGCGCGGGCTCTTGCTACTTCACACAAGGACCTAGTTTTTGTTTCGATTGTTTCACCAACTGCGACCCAGCAGGCCTCTCGCGCGCGCAGGTCGAAATGATTTGAACGCCCTTGCGCGCGTGCTTTGGGGGAGGCACTATCCCTGTCACATAAAGCCATGCGTGCCACTCGCGATCGTCGGCCGCGCAAGCATGTCGAAATCCTCCAAACACCTTCCTCACCGACACATGGACACCATGTTGTCATCGCCGTGATCAGCATCGGCGCCGTCGCTGGCCTTGCCGTCGCCATTGCCATCATCATCACCAACATCGCGAATATCATCATCATGTGTGCCGTGTCCGCCCGGCCCGCCCGTTAGCCCCCGCCCGCACGACCCGCTCGGTGGGGTCCGCACGTTCGCCTGGCTCAAGCGTGCACGCCCGATCCAGTGTCCCGCCCGATCCGCACGCTGAGGTCCGCCTGCCCGGCCTGCCCGTCAGGGCCCGCCCGTCACGGTCCACCCGCCCGACCTGCCCGTTAGGGACCGCCCGTCCGCATACCGGGAAACCCTCCCGCCTGCTGTAATGCCCCGCCTGCCCGACCCGCCCTTGAGGGTGCGCCGCCCGAACCGCCCGCTCAAGCCCGTCATGTAGATCGCTTGCAAGACATGAGACGCCCGCTTGTTTGTCACGCCCACCCCTCCTCGCGCCTCATACTGCGCGAATCTCTCCCCCTCCTCCCCCCCCGCTCGATCATGCTCTTCCGCCTCCGTCTCCTGCCAATCCTCGATCATTCCCCCGACACTCCTAGTTAGTCGGGGCTCACTCAGTGGCTAGCATGACACAGGTGCCCTGCAAATGGGGGTACGCTCACACAGAAAGGGGGCGGGCGACGAGGGATCGGGGTATACATGTGGGATGACACGCGGGTAATGAGGGGCGAACGCGTCGATGCTCCCCTTCTTCCGCGACGGATCAGATATCGAGGGTCGACATCTGTGAACGTTCCTGGGCCTCCTTGAGCGCCCTCGTCGCCACGGCTGGACTCGCCTCGTGATTCTGACCAGAACGCGCTGCAGGAGATCTTGACGCACAGATCTTTAAGGGGGGGCCACCCTCCTCCGCCTCCCTCCTCAGGCTCCCTCCTCATCTGGCCTCCTCGCCCCTCCCTGCTTCTCCTCCTCTTTCTCCTTCTCCCTCCTCCTCCTCCTCCTCCTCCTCCCTCCTACCTCCTCCCTCCTCCCTCCTCCTCAACCTCCTCCTCTTCCTCCCCCTCCTCCTACTCCACCTTCCCCTCCTTCTCCTACTTCTCCTACTCCTCCTCCTCCTGCTCCTCCTCCTCCTCCTCCTCCTCCTCCTCCTGCTCCTCCGCCTCCTCCTCCTCCTCCTGGGGCTCCTCCGCGGCAGAGGCCCCAGCCCACGTTGGCTAAGCGAGAGCACGCAGAGGGTGACGGCGATGGCCGCGATCGAGCCCCAGCTCCTGCAGCGGTCGGCGGCGCAGCAGGGTGTGGCTTGCAAAGGATGCGGCTCGCAATCGTCACCCAGAACCAGCCTCGAATTTATCCATATCCCTGCGAAGAAGTGCGAGCAAACAGCGAGGACAATCTGAGGGATGCGCCCTCAGAAACCGAGGGAATCCTTCGGATCGGCATCGAGGTGAAGTGACGCCAAACACAGGGGTACAGACATGCTTCAAACTGGTAAACCCAGGGGGGCACTCTGGGGGTCGTGCGAGAACCTCGACTGTAAAGCGAAGCCAGGGTGAGGATAACATCGGGTGAGGATCAATCGAGAACCTCAAGAAGATCCAGCGGCTCTGGAGGATGTCTCGGGTGCAACGGCCTTCTGAGAGCGTTCCGGAACGCTCTGAGAGCGTTCCGGGGAACGCTCTGGAACGAATGCATCGTGGTCCGAGCCCCGCCTGAGACAAAGCTCTCCGCCGCGCCCTGAGGAGGTCCGACGAGGGCACCACGGTGCCCCCCCAAGTCCCAACGACCTGGATCGCAAACCACACCCCGACGGAACCACACCCTCTGTGGTCGCCGAAGCGGGGCGGGGCTTTCGTGGACGCAACAAATCATTTTTTCGCGGCAGCGATGGTCCCGAGAACAACCGAAGCCAAATCTGCAGTCAAGATGTTGAAACAAGAACCGCCTTGGCTTCAGGAGTGGCTCTGGCTTCCAAGGCGTTCCTTATGAAGAACCTAATCGTGGCCGAGACTCGCCTTGGCCAAAAAAACAATTTCGTTCCGTATTCTGTATTCCTTCGGAGATCATGATGACTGTATGAAAAAGAATGGTGAATCGGCAAACTGTTCTGCCGCAGGACAGTCATCGCCCTTGCCTCCTGCGTGAAGCCGAAAACCCTGGCGTGAAAGATGAGGGAAGCGGGCGGACGAGCAGGAAGCTGCGGGCGCAGCAAGTCGACAACCCCTGTACTGCGCTCAACTTGCCATTGCTCGGACGTCCATTCCCCGTGCATTTGTCGGTTTCGTGCGTACACGTTTGCTAAGTGGTCCAGGATAGGGACGGAAGTGCTTCCCGAACAGCCCTCCTCTTCCTTTCTGCTGTTGCCCCTCCTGGACTTCGTCTGCCCTTCCATGCGTACGTCCTGCTACGATGAACTCCCACTGCTCCGACAACACAATTTACAAATATCTTCCCGCGCACCCGGCACCCGGCATTATCCTGTAATGCCGGAGCAGGAACCGTTGCACCTGGCACCCAGCAGCGACAGAGCGACGATCGCAAATGGGTCTTGCGCGAGATGCCGGAGCGACGTTGCGCGATGGCCTGCGCGGGCCGCCAGCGCGACACGCTGCATTGGAAGCGAGGCCGCTCACGCGCACAGCTGACGCGCCAGCGTCGGCGAAGACGACTCCTTTTGTTCTCGGGAGCGGCCAAGAGGGGGGTGTCCAAGAGGGGGGGGGGGGGTGCAAATCATGACCGGCGGCATGTGCGCGGCCCAGCGGGGGGGCCAGGGACGTAATGAAATAAGAAGAGGCGCCATGAAATCTGGGGAAATATCATGGCCCCCGCCATGATATCCACCCCCCCTAAGTCATCACCCCCCTCTTTTCCGCCCCCGACTTTTGTTCCCGTCGCTCCCCACGGTGCCACGGTGCCGGAACAGGAGCCTGCGCTCCCGGCCCCCCCCGCAGCACCCGGGAGACGATGCCCAGGAGGCGGAAGACGTACACGGAGGAGCCGTCGGCCAAGGCGGTCCCAGAGCTGTCCAAGCCGAAGGGCCTCCCGAGCAATTAAAGGGAAACTGGGACACACAAATAAATACACACAAATAAAAAGATTCCCCATATTTTCTCATATTTTCTAGGTTTTGTCTTCCCCACCACTTCCCATATTTTCCCATATTTTCCTGGGGATCGACGAATAATTGTGTCTGTGTGTTTTTTCTCCTCCTGAGCCATCCCACGACGGGGATCTACGAGAAGCCGAACGGTGGAGGCGAACGTGGGCCTGCCGAGGCCAGAAGGCTCTGCAAGAATGCAAAGGAGATCTGCAAGGAGGAGGCGGAGGGAACCCCACCGGAGAAGAAGCCGAGCGTGAAGGCGGACTTGGTGCCGTCCTGGTTGCTGGACCTCCCGAGCCGCTCAGGAAAACTCTCGTAGGAGAAGCCGATGGTGAAGACGAACTTGCCGTCAAAAGGCTGACAAAAAAGAAAACGCAGAAGGAGAAGGGGTTCGACCAGCAGTCCGACCGAGCGTCATTGGAGATCAGCAAGACACACTTCATGGACAAGAAAGGTCAAGGAGAAAATGGTCGAACAACTCCTGCACCAAGTGGGGCTAGAGACGGTCACCAACAAAACGGAACGGCCAGGCACTTCGATGGCGACTTGGAATCCGAGGGCTCACCTGTCTCTAATGGCTGGTGGTCCGACGGCGACGTGCACGTGGACAAGATAGCGGAAAATCCAGCAGTTCGCTTCGGGCCTGAAGTCCTTCTTGGGGGAACGAACAATGACATAAACATAAAAACTCGGAGGTCCGCGCGGACTTCTCGGATCGGCACTGAACCCCCCTGCCTGGCGCGGGGATCGCGACAGGAGCGGCGCTGGAGACGCCGCTGGAGGGGTCCAGCGTCGATCCGAGAAATCCGCGCGGACCTCCGAGTTTGTATGTTTATGTCATTGTTCGTTCCCCTATTTCTGGCGCGAGCCTTGCCGACACCAATGCAAGGACCCGAGCCTCCCTGTAGCGATGCCCTGCGCTCGGGCGCCCAGGGAGGAAAAAGCTTGCTGCAAGTCCCGCCTTTCCCAGAGTGAGGGAACACACACACACACTCACACTCACACTCACACTCACACTAACACTCACACGCACACGCACACTCACACTCACACTCACACTCACACTCACACTCACACTCACACTCACACTCACACCCTCACACTCTCACACTCTCACACTCTCACACTCTCACACTCACACACTCACACACTCACACACTCACACACTCACACACTCACACACCCACACTCTCACACTCTCACACTCTCACACTCTCACGCTTTCACGCTTTCACGCTCTCACACTCTCACACTCTCACACTCTCACACTCTCACACTCTCACACTCTCACACTCTCACACTCTCACACTCTGACACTCTCACACTCTCACACTCTCACACTCTCAAGCTCTCACACTCTCACACTCTCACACTCTCACACTCTCACACTCTCACACTCTCACACTCTCACACTCTCACACTCTCACACACTCTCACACTCTCTCTCACACTCTCTCACACTCTCACACACTCTCTCACACTCTCACACTCTCACACTCACACACTCACACACTCACACACTCACACACTCACACACTCACACACCCACACTCTCACACTCTCACACTCTCACACTCTCACGCTTTCACGCTTTCACGCTCTCACACTCTCACACTCTCACACTCTCACACTCTCACACTCTCACACTCTCACACTCTCACACTCTCACACTCTGACACTCTCACACTCTCACACTCCCACACTCTCACACACACACACACACACTGCGAGATCATCGCCGAGCTAGCGGTGGGGAAGGTAGGGTACGACGCCGTCGCTGCTCGTGGCCACGAGTTCAACAGGTCGACCCCCGTGCTCATGAAAGCCATCGTAAGCTCTCACAGAACACGAGCGGGACCGCGCGAAGGACTCAGGGAGGAACCCCCTCCACGTGTTGGAGAATTGGCCCGAAGCCAAGTGTGTGTGTGGGGGGGATCCTTCCGCGCAAGGCCCCTTCCCCGCTAGGGTCCTGCTCCCCTGGGACCTCGCCGGGTTGGCGGGGCCCGCTGGGTCCTGGGGCTTTGCGGTTGTGTTGCTCTCATCGTGCTTAAAAGAATCACATTCCAGACAGAATTCCCAGCACCCAGAAAATTATCGAAGCAATGTCGAACGAATATCGCCTCCCAGGGCCCGACACGTTAAAACCCTCCAATGTTGGTAATTTCCTGGTGCTCGAGAAGTCTTCCTGGTGATCGAGGCTAAAGTAGGTTGGATCATCATAACTTTGACGATCCTTGTTGGTGCGGGGCCTCTGGGGGCTCGCGCTGCCGTTGGGCGGTTTTGCATATGGCCGCGTGCGCGGTTGGATCTGCACCCCTGGGCGCGGCCGATGCGAGGGGCCTCGGGAGCAGGCTTGTATCATCAGATCCCCGGGTCCCTCCTCTTCCATCCTCATGGTCCTTCCTCCCCTTTCTCCCCTGCTCTTCTCATCCTCCTCCTTATCCTCCTCCTCCTCCTCCTACTCCTCCTCCTCCTCCTCCTGCTCCTCCTCCTCCTCCATCTCCTCCCCTTCCTCCTCCTCTTCCTCCTCCTCCTCCCCCTCCTCCTCCCCCTCCTCCTCGAGCAAGACCTCCCGCCTCCCCCTCCTCCTCCCGGCGCCCGGCGCGAGATCCTGGCAAAGACCTCGCACATGATCTCGAACTTCCTCCCCAAACCACCGACCTTCATGAGGCGGACCAGGCGGATGAGCCGCGCGGACCGCAGGAAGCCAAGCTGCGGCGGCCGGCAGTGCTTTCCGCGGGCGCAAGAAGTGGCAGGACCAACAGGTACCGATACCGCTACTCCCCGGACCTTTCTTGGGGCGCGTTCTGACTAGGATTTGAAGGCGAATTCAGCGGTGGCGACGAGGGCCTGCCAGGAGGCCCAAAAAGAGGAACGCCCAAAAAGGGGAACACGGCCGAAGGGTAGCGTTATGGTTGAGCAGGGACCGACCGTCACAGCATTCCTATAGGCCTTCCACGACATGTTCTTAGAACCCAGGAATGCGAAAGTGGTGCAATCACAAAAACAATGCTTCTAAAACGTCAACCCAGCGTGTCAAAACAAGACGGTCTCAACCAGAAATGTTGGACGCCCGAGTTATCCGGGGTAACTCGGGTCCGGGGTAACTCGGGTTTGGGTTCCCGGAAAACGAACCCGAGTTAGCCCTGACCCGAGTTACCCCTGATGATTTTGGGGCTCTGGACGCCCGAAATATCCGGGGTAAGTCGGGTTCGGAATCCCGAAAAAGGAACCCGAGTTATCCCTGACCCGAGTTACCCCTGATGATTCGGGGCTCTGAAAATGTTCTAAAAACATTTCGTGCAGACCACAAGAGAATCTTAGAACAGCCTTTGGTGGGCTGATGGGTCTAGCAGGCGCAGGCCCGCGAACAACAGCTTTTTGTTTTGGGGGGAGGGGCGGGGCAACTTCGCTGAGACGGGGGCGCGAGGAGGGCACGGTGGTGGCCAGTCCACAAGAAACCTCCCAGAATAGGGGGAAAACAAACCTACCTCGCTTTTGACCACCCTCGCTTCCAAGAGATACCAAACGATGCCAAACTACGGCCTGTACTGGTCAGGCCGCTTGACGAGGAGGCGCGTGGTATGACTTGGTTTTGCCTGGAAGCGAAAGCGGGGTACACCGGACTCACTTCTATAGCGCTCACTTCTATAGTGCTCACTTTGAAATTGTGGTCCGGAAGGGGCCGCACATGCAGGCACATGCCGCACAGTCGCATGCACATGCCCATGCAAATATAAAAAAGCCTTAACAGCATTGCCGCACATGCGCGCACATGCCACACCGTCCGACGCACACTCGAATGCACGGTCAAGCAAAACTCTGAAAGCATAGACGCACATGCCAGCACATGCCGCAGAGATGTCGCAGGCGATAGTGGGCATTTCGCAACCCAGAGTTGCGAGGATGTCTCAGGCAAGCGTGGCCGGACCACCATGGGGCAAGGCATCTTGGAAACCAGAGTGGCGAGGATGTCGCTGGTCAAGGTGACCATACCACCATGGGGCAGGACACCGCCGAGGTCTGAGTTGTGAGGATGTCTCAGGCGAAAGTGGCCTGACCACCATGGGGCAAGAGATCTCTGAGGTCAGAGTTGCGAGGATGTCTCTGGCGAGAGTAGTCTGACCACCTCAGCCCAGGGCGTCTCGGAACCCAGAGTTGCGAGGATGTCTCAGGCAGGAGTGGCCTGACCACCTGCTCAGGGCATCTCGAAACCCAGAGTTGCGAGGGTCTCAGGCGAAAAAGGCCGAGACACTATGGAGCAGGGCATCATTGAGGTCATAGTTGTGAGGATGCCTCAGGCGAAAGTGGCCTGAACACCTCAACTCAGGGCATCTCGGGCGAGGATTCTAAAGCGAAAGTGGTCTAACCACCTCAGCTCAGGGCGTCTCGGAACCCAGAGTACCGAGGATGTCTCAGGCGAAAGGGGCCGAGACACTATCGAGCAGGGCATCATTGAGATCAGGGTTGCGAGGACGTCTCAGGCGACAGTGGCTGGCCCATTCGTAAGATCGGGTGCTGCCCCACGACCTCGCGCAAAGCCTTGTGAAGGTGGTGCAGTAATGCCTTGTGCACCTGGTCGTTCCAGCATTGTTCCGGCGTGCCGCTCCTGCCGGCGAGCGCGGGCAGGGCGAGCGCTGCGCGCGCCTGTGCGGAGCGTGAGCGGGGCGCCCCGTCTGTCGGGGCCGCGCAATCAAGCGAACGTTCGTCCGCGCGCGGCTTGCGCGCGGACGCGAACGCGCCGGCGCCCGGAGACGAACGCCGGCCCCAGCATTCTTGCACGTCCCGCACATGCCCCGCACAGGTACGCACAGTATTCGCACAGGCCGACCTCGCCAGTGGCCGAGCCAGGCCAGCGATTCCGAGATTCCCTGAGCTCGGGCCGTCAAGCCATTTTCGCCTGAGACATCCTCGCGACTCTCACCTCCTCCTCCTCCTCCTCCTCCCCCTCCTCCGCCTCCTCCTCCTCCTCCTCCTCCTCTTCCTCCTCCAGTTGGTATTTTGGCTCACGCGTCGCTTCGCTGGGTCGGCCCGCCGTCCCGCCGCCTCGCCGATGCCGCCGACGACGGACGCCCGCGCTGCGGCGCCGCTGGAAGCCGCGCGTGGCGCGGTACTGGCGGTGCATGCTGCCGCAGGGCTCGCCAGCGGCGCGGGACTTCGGGACGCTGCGCGTCTCGTCCGCGCCGCTGAAGGTATGCTGCGCACGGCGGTGGCCGTGCTGGCCAAGCCCGCTTCCCCTGCGCCCGCGGCGGCGCCGCCAGCGGAGCCCGCGGCTGCCCCTCGGAGGCGGCGGCGACGGCCTCGTGGCCGCGGCGGGGCGAAGGGAGCGGCTGGGGCGGTCCAGCACGGCCTCGGCGCCGACGGCATGATGATCGTGGAGGACGCGGCAACGGCGGCTGCGGAGGCGGGCGGCGCCCCCGCTCCGCCGTCGCCCCTGCTGGACGACGCCTGGGCCGACGACCTGCCCCCGAGGCGGTCGGCGGCCACGGCGGCGACGGGCGGCGGGCGGCCTCCTGGCGCGCGCGGCCGAGCATTGGCTCAGGCCATGGCGGCTCAGCTCGGCGTGGCCCCCCACGAGCTGGGTGCCCTCCTTCTCGGAGAGCCCGCCGATTCGGGGCCTCCTCTTCCTGAAGGGCCTGCTGATCCGCGTCGCGGTCCTCCTGGCGGAGTCCCCGGGGCGGACGGAGGTGGCAGTGGGGGGTTGGCAGGGGGGCCGTAGCGTGCAGGCCCGCCGCCCCTCCCCTCCGTCCGCCACACGGCGCTCGTCTTCGGCGTTCGCCACTACATGTTCTCCTGAGCCTGCCCGGACGCGGCCGCAGTCGGCGCCCACCTCCTCTTCCTCCTCCTTCTCGTCTGGCCGAGCCGAACAGGCGGGCGGGCCGGCCGAGCATGGGGCGTCCGCCTCCTACCTCCCCCCCCCCTGCTTCTCCGGCCGAGCTGAGAAGGCGCGCGGGAGAGCGTTTTACTAGGAGGGCACGCCGCCGCCAGCTCACAAACCGGGCGAAGAACCGCCCCCGCCAGCAGCGGGCGAGTCTAAACGCACAACAAACTCTTTCAGGAAACCCTGGCACGCCCCAGGTTAGCTCTGCGAAGGCCAGGAGGCATTGGAGGCACAAGGGTCCCAGACAGATCCTAGGGCATGAGCGTGCATGTGCATTGGGATGTGCACGCATGTGCGCCCGCGCACTTCACCGCATGTGCGTGCATGTGCGGGCCCGCGCGGCCTCCCGAAGAGAGGTTGCACGGGCATGTGCGTGCATGTGCCGATGACAGATCTTCGATTCTCGAACACCTCCCGCATGTGCAGGCATGTGCGCGCATGTGCGTCGGACTGCGCGTGCATGTGCGTATGATGGATACACCAAAACACAGCGCACATGCCCCCGCACATGCCCGGGCACGACGTGCACAGTAGGAAGTCCATCCAAGAAGGGCCGCACAGGCCTGGCACATGACTGGCACATGCCGCGCACATGCGCGCACATGACAGCGCAAAAACGGCCGCACATACACCCACCCAGGGGTATAGATGTGAGTGCGGTGTAGGTAATTCACGCTCTGAACAGTGGTGGCCAGTCCACAAGAAACCTCCCAGAAGAAACCCAACCCTGGAACCCCAGGAAGTCCACTGATGTCTGGTGTGGGAACGTCACGCACTCTACAGCAGAACCGTGGAAACCCAAGACACCCAGGGCACCCCGGAGAGGCGAGCAGGGTGTCTCTTGGCATGGGCCTCCACTGCAGATCTCGCAGGCGCAGGCCGGCTCCAGCAGCTTTGGGGGGGAGGGGCGGGGCAACTGCGCTAATGACTGCCGACCAGACCACCCCAACCCAGCCCGAAGACCAGAACTCCCGGTTGGGGGGGGGGGGGCGGGTTCCATACGTGTTTTCTCCATGTTCCCCGACCCCTTCGCCCCTCCCCTGGAGATGGATAGCAAATTGAGGTCTTCGGGTTGGGCTGGGGTGGCGTGGTGAGTGGTGAGCCATAAGACGGGGACACGAGGAGGGCAAGCTCGGAGGACCACAGACCGGGAACCGCTGAGAGCCGGCAGGTCTGGAGCACGCATCCGGCGGAGCCACAGCCCCGGTAAGCAACAGATCCCGGCGAAGGACCCGACTGGATGCGGTCTGTGAGTGCCGCACTCGTGGATGTCGCTTTCAGTGGAGCTCCCAGCGGGGCCACGAATCGCGTGCGAGGTGCGGCGAAATGGGCACGGGGTGGGGCGCACGCGGGCCCTGCCTCTGAGGGCTTCGGTGGCACTCCTGGAGGGTCTGAGCGGTGGGACCGCGTGCGAGCTGTGACCCTGGGGGCTTCGGTGGAGCTCCCACTGGGGCCACGGAACGTGTGAGGGGTGTGCCGCCCGCAGGGGCTGGGGGGCCGCAGGCGCCCTCCGCCCACCACCCCCTGGGGCCTTAGCGGGAGCTCCCTGCGGGGTCACGAAGCGTGCGAGGGGTGCGCCGCCCGCAGGGGCTGGGGGGCCGCATGCGCTCCCCCAGCCCCCCCCCCCCCCGGGGGGCTTCGGTGGAGCACTTGGGGCCACGAAGCGTGAGAGGGGTGCGCCGCCCGCAGGGGCTGGGGGGCCGCATGCGCACCCCCCCCCCCCCCCCTCGGCTCCCCCTCGGCTCTGTTGGAGCTCCCTGTGGGGTCGCGACACGTGCGAGGAGTCTGCCGGCATGCACATGCCGACGGCCGAGGCAGGGATGGGAGGGAG